CAGAGGTGTACACAAAAGGCTGATTTACCCAAATCACACCATGCCAGTGGAAAGCTCCTAAGGCAACGAGATCTCTGTTATATTACAACGCAAAAAAACCCCCCAGTTATGCGCTCATCGCAATTTTGATAATAAATATGCTCGCTTTTCAGTGTTCTGAAAGAGAGCTTTCACCAGGTAACGCACTTCAACTGCTGTTAACCACTGTGAAAGAGGCCCTTTTCCGTCGCACCATCGATCACAGATGCCCTGAAATTTTTCATAATTAGTGAAAATTATTATCTTAGAATGCCCGGAACCACTCTTACTTTATAATCTGCATCATCGCCATCTATGGGGCTGGTAATTTTTGCTTCGATTACGATCTTGAGCTTGTCTTAATCACAAAATTTTACATATTCGTAGGGAAATCCCCAGCGTGCTGGTGTCCTTTCTACTGTACTTTTAACTCCTCATGAATAACTTTCAATCCCATATGTCCCTTCATGGATAACCATCATATCTCATCGTCATCCTTGCTACTTCTCCTCCGCCGTAGATTCCCTTTTTTGTGCTTTTTAAATCGCCAAATGACGGGGTTTGGTTCTGGTAATGTATAGTGGCCTAGTTAATAAGATTGTTTATTAATGATCGGTTCCGGATTATCAAGATAATAAAAATTAAAACCGCTATCGTAATTCACTTTATGTAAAAAATGGAAGCAAGCGGAAACGATACGACTGGTAGCACATGACAACAGCGACCACTCACTGGCGAAAATGCCAATAAACCCATTTTTCGAGGGTTATTTAAAAACTGATAGTGATTCTGACTCTTTGGCATGCGCAAGTACCAAATTCTTGGTTAAAACAAATCTGAGAGGGGTTAAGCTGTCTCACAGGCCTAATCAAATTATGATGGATTTTTTAACTGTAAGGGCAGCGTTAGCTGTCACTAACACCAATCCCACCACCATTAATTCAAGAACACTGCAAATTTAGCACATCTTTAGCATATCCACGATCAGAGGAGAACATTTTGGCAGGCAAAATATGCCCATCAGCTGTGAAGAGGGTGTTCAAAACAAACCTGTAAAGATGCTTCCAGGCAAAATACCACTTCGTGCATGCGACAAAATTCCAGCTCAACTTTCTTATTGATAGGAGAATGCCCCGATCTCTGAAAAAGTTAATTTTAAGCTTCGCCACTATTGCGTGCCAAGAAATTGACTTACAGTCTGTGTTAGCACACTAAACGCCCGGTCAGAAGATCTGTTATTTTAAATGAAAAAGTATGTTAACAAGGAATGAAATATAAGCCAAAGAATCAAAAAAGAAGGTAAGAAATATGAATTAGAAAATTTGTGAAATTATTATAATGGTAAGAAATGTTTCGGTCCATTAAGCCATATACAAGCCTGTCGCCAAAATGAGATTCGTGGCAGCATATCGCCAATAAAACCAATCGTTACGCAAATTTCTAATCCATTTTTACAACAAAACAGCGATAAAATGAGTTGTAAAGCAATCATTGAAAAGGCTTTCAGATGTTTCAGATAATATTCGCAAAAGAGGTTTCGCACTTACATCAACCAACAATTCGCACTCTTTCAAAACTTTGCTGAGCGCAAGAGCACAGAGCTCCGCATCGTTGGCCCGAATATCTTCCATGGACAATACCAGCTTAATCAATACGGTAAACAGATGTGAAATTATATCACCCATACACTTCACGTATACTGTTTTCGACAAAACCTGAAATTAAGAAAGTAAAAGGCAGTACCGGCCTCAAAAGCCCTTTGAGGAAATGGAGGAGAATAGTAACCAGGGCCCGGAACAGCGGCCCAATCAGCGAAGGGTATCCAGCGGCAGGGACCGAAAAACACTACTCCACATATTTATTTCAAAAACAATCAAACGAAAACTCATGTATCGTAATTATACGAATGCAAAATGTCACATCCGCAAATTTATGTCCAAACAGGCGAAGAGAGAACAATCGGAAGAAGCGGTGCTTTCTTGCTGAACAGCCCTGCCACCCTGTGAAGGGCGAAGCAGCAACAAAGAGCCATCCAAACATTCGAAGGATGAGACTCCGCCAGTGACACAACCAGTCCCTCTACGATTCGTTCATTTGTTTCGATGGTAAATTGGTGCTAAGGGATCGAAGTTGCCATCAGCTTGCGTGTAAACAATCCTCCATCGAAGAAGCCATCGACAGCTTACCAGTTGATGAATTATGTTGGCATGTGCTACCACTCAGGCTACTTACGAGTGTCTTCTCCTTTTACATGAGTTTTGTCTTTGAAATTTGATTCACGTATGGGATGCTACGGTTCCGAGTTATGCTCAGATATAACTTAATCAACAACAAACAAAACTGTAACGAACTGGTGATAATACAGGAAAAAGCAAGATAAAAAGCAGTACCTTTTTCCAAATTCCTGAAATCTTCTCCAACTGCATCATACATCCATCCAAACATTTCCTGCACTGTTCGTGCCGCGAAACATCATCCAAGCCAATGAAAACTGAAAAAAAAAGCTTAAAAATTTGTACTGCTTGAGCTTTTAACCGGCTATGCCATAATTCCCTAAGAACTGAAAAGCGTAAAAAGTCCCGTGCCTCATGTGTAGGCCACCTCAGGAAAATCATAAAAACACAAAATTCTTAAACCGAATGACCACGGCTACCTTAGCAATAATCATGATAATTATGTGATATTTCTAAGTTAAGACTCATTGAAATTGGCAAATAGCCAGCACTTACTTTTATCATCGGCCAAAAGAGTGGATAACTGATGTCGACAGTGCATCAACTGTTTCTCCATTGAATCGGCAGCTACTAAACGCAGACGAGGGATAAAATCAACCAACAGCACACGCAAATTCTTGGACTGCAAATTTGTGTTGTTTTTATACAAAAGCTACAGAAATGCTATTAAAATATTACTTTCTTCTCTGCCTAAAAAAGTTATAGGTGGTGCAGCGAGCTGCGGAAGGATTCACGGTAAGTGTCAGCAAGTTGAAGCACATTTCTACAGGAGCACTTCAGTTCCGGTTAGGCGTAACAATGCTATAAGGAAAATGCATCGCAAAAAAAACAGCTAGGTTGGTTGTGTAACATAAATTAGCGATAACAAACTGATGAATCTAACTGTTGAATGGACCCAAGCAATTTTAAAAGAACAAACGGAAGAACACTTAAATGATGGACAGAACTGTTTGAATCGTTATACAAAGTTGTTAGATAAGAAAAACCCAAAATAAAGAAGAATGGAGAAGTTGCCAATTGCATCAATAACAGGAATAAAAATGTGAAAATGAAAAAAAAACGCTAATTAAAATATAAAATCATGTGGTTATTTCTCAAAAATTTTTTTTTTCATATTCAACATATCATTAACATACGTGTATATAATATTTGTTTTGCTTCGCAAACTACACTTTCATCGTGCCGCAGAATATTTTACATTAAAAGTACCCTCCCCCTTCCCACTTCCCGCCCCCCACTCCGCCCCATAGCCACTTTTTAGAAGAGACGTGGAAAGCGGAATTAGTACAAATGATCGCGAATATGGCTGAATTTCCCATTCTCGGGTAAATGTCAGTACCAGTTTACTATCGTAAATTAGTTATTCCAGTAGAGGAATTGGACTCTCGAGCTCCATTACAAGTAATTATCAGCCACTGCGCAATGAGCTTTCGCGACCCTAATTGTTACTTTATTTGATTAGTGTGTTCGGAGGTGTGTATGTGTGTGTAACACGTCGCGTCCTATATACATGTTTATTATACATAGTAAAAGGATAAAGCGCAAAATAACGTGAGGCTCAGGGGAGCCGAACCTCCCCAGAATAGGAGAATTAGTTATATAGAATAAAGAGGTTGCGTAGTAGATCGGTAGTGGCGATCCCGGCGATGGGAAGGTGTGCTTTTATTACCTCAGGGGACAAAGATCAAAAGGTTAATGAGGGAAGGGTGGTCAAAGTTTGAACCGGGGACAGGGGTACTGCGTCATAGTAATGCAGCTGGTCTTTACACTATTTTTAACAAAAACCATTAATCATTATTTCATATATTACGCACTATTAACAGATGCAATTTCCACAACGTAAACTGAATAAGCAACACATTTTCTTCGAAAAAAAAAAAGGGAAGGAGGTGACTGCTTACGATTATAACCTTGCATTAAAAAAGACGAAATAAAAATAAACTTTAAAAATAAAATAACCTCAAAAGCAGACTGCAGTTTCGGTAATACTTTAACCATGATAAGCATTAAACGATGACTGATATAATAGCAGTTATTGTAGAACACTGCTGAAAATTTTCAACAAAATAAATTTTTTTTCTCTTTAATTACGTCCTAAAAGAATACAAACAGGTAGACCAGCAGGCGATGTGACACAGGCCAATATGAGCTTCACAGTTGAAAAATCCGTCTATCTCAATACTATTCGCCTTGTCCAGTAGCCCTTCGGTTTCCTGTAATATGTAAATGTTCCGTCTCCTGGCTCGAGTTCCCCCCTCCGTGATACTTAATGTGATGATTGAAAATGAAATTGTTAGCGTAATTGTTTGTTTTGCGCGATCTGGAAGTGCGCGGCAGCAGCTTGGGGCTGCTGTCGAGCGGATCCCGGGCTGGTTGCTTTTTTTTCCTAATTGTTTTTTCTCTTGTGTGATTGAACTAATAAAGAAGTGAGTCCTAGTTGCTTGGTTTTGCACTTCCCCGCCAGGCAGCTCCCCTACCCCC